TCTCTCTCTCTCTCTCTCTCTCTCTCTCTCTCTCTCTCTCTCTGTATTTGGTACAGGGTCTTACTACACAGCTTGTACTTGTAGTGAGCCTCCTGTTTTCAGCTTCCCCAGCACTGGGATTGCAGGTGTGCGCTACCATGCCAGGTCCTGGTGGCTGGCTCAGTGTGCCCTTGGGTGGGTGCTTAGTCTGTTGAGCTATCTTGCAGGCCCTGATTGTTGTTTTAACATGTGGAAATAGTTATATTGGTGTACAAATTGCTGTTTTCTGTGAAAAGCTGTATAGTTCGGATGTCAAAGACTAGGCATTCATAACAGCTATTACAGTTTCCTCATGAATAGATTTAAGAGTTGCAGCCTATGACTATTTAGCTCAAGTCAATAAAGCAAGATTTTCATGTTGCTTGCATATTTCTGTCAGTCATATGACTGAAAAACTGCTGGTAACTATCACATTTCTCCTGCTTTTCAAAAATCAACATCATATGAAAGTCCAAACAGGATTGTATCATCACCCAGGTGACAGCACCAGGAAGATTAATTAGTGTCTGTTGCAAAGAAAACTCTCTTTGCACATTTGTGATGGTTTTGTGCTGATGCATCTGCTGGGGTGTGTCAGCATCCAAAGAGCTTTGCTGTTTACAGGAAACATCAGAGTATAGCAGGCGTAAGGTCTCAAGTTACAGAGCTCTTTCTGGTCTGCTTCTGTATGTGGAAGTTGTTTTATATCCAGAAGAGGCATTATTTACAAAAGAAAAATACTACATTGGCTTTTTCATAGCCAAATTGTACATAGATAGTAATGGATGCGAGGCAAGTCAGACAACATGAGTTGGATGAAAGTTTCTGCAAATAAGATGGCCACACTGAATAATGGGTGGCAACACATAATTAAAGCAGATGGGGCCAGACTCCCTGAGTCATTGTTGGATGCAGCTGTGCTGGTCAGGGAAGGCACTCACTGGTTTGGTAGACACTTGCAGGTATCAGCAATCTGATGGCTCTTTTCTTAGAAGCAAAATAGTGGATTCTTGGCTCTACAGGTGCCCCCAGGACAGAGTGTTCCACTGGAAACATTGAAGCTTGTCTCTTGAGTGTCAGAGCTGAGTAGAAGCAACTTCTGCCAGTGGTGTTCTTGTACTTGCTTTTCTTGACTTGTTTCATACTTAATCCGTTAGCAATTTCTTCATAAAAATAAAAATAATAAACAAGAAAATCTGATAATGTTTACTAACTTTTATCTAGAACGAGAGTAGTCTTTGGGGAGAAAACAAATGACATTTTAATATTTTGCTTTCTTTGTGGATATCTTAAAAGAGTTGATGAATAATAGTAGTATATATATTGTATACATATGACATTATGAATGAGACAAAGACCTTGTTACTGCTGTTTGTAATCTAATTCATTTTACTTTGTGTGTGCAGATACTGATGTTTATCCAGGATTAGCTGTGTTTTTTCAAAATGCTCTCATATTTTTTAGGTAAGTTGTTTAATTTCTTAGTCACACAGTGTTTAAAGAAATGTCAACTGTTATAAGAATAGCATGTACATAGAACAGATCAGAATCCCTGGAATTACAATGCATAGGTCTTCTTTGAGAAAGTAAAAATTCCATTATTACATAAGAGTATATCACATCCTCTGATTTGGGTCCTACCATGTATTAGGACCTTGCTGGATGTTTTATATGTATTAGATTTTAATTCCTATTTTGACATATGTCAGATTTTATTTGTGTTTTATTAGTGAGGAAATAAGGCTGAGAGCTTACATAAAACTACATACAGAACAGGTTGTGCTTTGTTAGAAAACCATATCATGGACTTCTATTAAAAAAAAAAAACCCAGACAATTTGAATTAATACATATGTGCATACTATACATAAAACTTGGTGGGACTGTTTTGAGTTAAGATTCATACAGAAATAAAGCAATATTAAAAGCATTTCTGGGTCTGGGGAGATAGCTCAGAGGCATAAGCACCCACGTGGTAAGCACAAGGACCCGAGTTTGCTCCCTGGCCCTGCATGCCGTACTGGTCCTGGATCCCTGGGCAAGCCATTTTGACCCTGGAACCAGGCATGGAGGTTGAGACAGGAGGATCGTTATGAGTTCAAGACCAGCCTGGTGGCTACAAAAGTGAGCTCAAGGCCAACCTGAACTGCATAGTGAGACTCTGTCTCAAAAAACAAAACAAAACAACCAGAAGTATTTCTTAGGGAAAAATCTTATAGAATGCCCTGCAGCTGTATCCTATAGTCCAGTGATGGCAAACCTGTTGCAACTTTCTACAGTATGAACAGCTTACTGTGGCACAGGTTCACCATAGGTTCATTATATGTACTCTGTGCTTTTCAGAATTAATATCTTTTAGGTATTGATTTATAAAGTTATATATCCTTCCCCCAAATCATGAAAATCTAAGCTATTTTTTTTGAGAGAGGGACAGGCTGGCCTTGAAATCACAGTGATTCTCCTCCCTCAGCCTCCTAAGTGCTGGAATTATAGAGCCACCACACCTGGATAGAACTGTATTTTTTTTTTTTATAGCTAGTGTTAAGTAACATCATTGTGGCATATTATGGTTTCTTTTATCTTCTGCTTAGTGTTCATTATTGAGTTTTTTGGTTCTGTGGGTTCATAGTTTTTATCAAATTTGAGTTCTTTTTTCAGCCATTGTTTCATCAAATTATTTTATGTTCATCTTCCCTTCTTCTGAGATTTCTATTTACATGTATATTACGTTTCTTAATTAGCTACTTAATGGATTTAGGGAGAGCATCTGGTTGTGCTAGGCACGTTGGCGTCAAACTTCTGGGCTCAAGTACAGGGGCATCCCACTTTGCCCAGCTCCTATATTAGCTTCTGTAAATTGCTCACAGTTCATTAATTCTCAGGTCTGTCTCTGCTCACTTCCCCTCCTCCCCTATCTTTTTTTTTTTTCTTTTTAACACAGAAGAGATGATTTATTGTACACACTTTACACTCAGCCAAAAGCAAGAACAGAAGTAGTCCAGAATGCCACAGGTCCAGGGCAAAAACAAACAAACAAACAAACAAACAAACAAAAAAAACCAGGAGGCTGCTTAGTTTGAACCAGGTGGATCTCTCTGAGGTGGTCTTGGCAATCAGATGGCAATGAAGTTCTAATTCATTGAGACATTCTAGACATCATGCAGTCCAAAACTTGCACCAGCGTTGTCAGCCTCCAGCATTCTTTATTTCTATTCTTTTGGCCTCCATGGGTGTATGAGCTATTTTACTTGGACCTCTGTCTCATCTTTCTTCTTTTATGCTTCAGCCTGCGCATTCACTTTTTCTTCCACTTGGCTCTCATGGTGCAGAGGTTCCTAAGAAGATGGGTTAAAGTCAAGAGCTCTTTTGTATTTTTTAAAAAAAGTTTGTTTTTTCTTTTGTGTCAGTTTGGAAAGTTACTGCTGCATCTTTAAGTTCGCTGATCTGTACTTCAGTACTATCTAACCTATCAATTCCATTTAGATGTATTTTTCATATGTAGAAATAATGTAGGTCTTTTATATATGTTTTCCATGTTTCTCCATAACATTCGTAATTTTGCCTTGTTGATTATACTAAGTGTGTCTGTAACTATTTTAGTGTTCTTGTCTATCTGCCTGTGTCATTTCTGGGTGTGTCTTTTTTTTTTTTTTTTTTTTTGTGGCTGGCTCAGCCCACCCTGTGGGTAGGGTTGGTGAGGCATGTTGTGCTGGGGATCCCTGCGTGCTTGCCTAAGCTTGCCTAAGCAAGTGCTTTAGACCACTGAGCTATCCTGCCGGCCCTAGGAGTGTCTGTTGACCATTCCTGCTTTGTGTACTCTTCACTTTGGATTTATTACCCCATTTATGGCTTTGTATGCAGCCTGTTGGTGCTGGAGTTTTTGGTATTCAATTAAATGTTTTTACTTTTGTTCTCAGATTCAGTTTGGCCACTTGGACACAGTTTGGTTCTATCAGTCATGTTTTTAAACTTTGTTTGGCAAACCAACGCAGCTTTAGTGTGGGACTGCTTTGTCCCCCTTCCTAAGATAGTAATACAATGTGCTGCTGAATATTCTTCCCTTTGTTTTGATGTTCCACATGTTTTGAAGATTTCCCCTCTCTGTTCAGGAAATTGTAAACTCTTTCTAGCACTGCAGAAGTTTGGGAACTACTTTTCATCCCACTGCCTCTTGTAGTTTCCCCATAGGCATCCAGTGATCTAAATGCTGAAGACTCCAGGGCACTTCCTTTATTTATTTGTGTGTGTGTGTGTGTGTGTGTGTGTGTG